CGACATCGACTTGAATCGTATTTCCCGCGCTTTTTTCCCGGGAATAGGATTACAGATCACGTCACAATAATCCGAAGATTTTTCCGACGATTCCCGAATAACATTCGCCTTTGGTCGAAATACATTCGTTCTGACTCGGTCCTAGTCCCTTTCGATCACCTTGTTTGTAAGGATCCCATCTAGCCGCAACCAATTAATACTCGGCGTTCCACAGGAACCCCGAGTAAAAATGTCTGGAGAATGACCCGTCAAAGTCGTATTCACTGCTAATTCCAACATGTCGTTCTTATAGCAGTTGTAACGATCTTGCGGTATCCACAACTTATATAAACCACACATAAACCACATAAACATTACTTTGATTGAATTATCGTGCATAGGTAGGTTTTAAAAGGCAGATGTTGAAAATCTAAATGTAATAACTGGACCTAAATGTAATAAAAATTGGACCTAATAATGATAATAAGTATATATAGGTAATAGCATGTTTTGTATAGTATTTGCATGGGATAATATGCCACACGTGATATTTCAAAATATTTCAATTTTGAAATATCACAAGTGGTATTTATTCCAAATTCCACGTACAAAACATGCTATTATTTGTTTATAATATGGTTGAAAAATTGTGAAATTTGAAATACCAGTATTAAGGATAAATACCACTCCGCTAAGCCAATCAAATTGCACAATTTTTAATCAAAGATATTATAAAATGCAATAACGGTCCTAAATGTAATAAGCATTGGGCCTAATAAATGCAATAACGGTCCTGAATGTATTTTGGACCTTTATTACACTTTGGTCTAGTTACAAAACATTTAGTCTTCAACATCTGTTAGTAGACAAGGGCGTGTCGTCGAAAAAAAAGTTGGAAAAGTTTCACGTGATTTGACTTCATACAAGAAAGTCTGCAAGAAAATTTGACTAGAAAATAAGTAACCCAAGGTGTCACTTGAAATCATGTTCAACAAGGTAATCAACAATTGATATAAACATTAGGTAAAACCTAAAATAGCTGAGCTCCAATAGCAAAACAGAAGCTGAAAATGATTATCTAAAGAGTACTACTATTTCAAAGATAGCCTTAGTAGAGATGCTCTGTTTCAAGGAATGTTGACATGCAAACAAATATTCTAAACATATTTATTCATTTTAGATTAAGATACAGCATGTTTATGAGAATTTCGTACTCTAAGTTGAATATTGACTTCGGTAGATTTTGTTCCGTTGGACGAAGTTATTATAATCTGTAAAGGTCATTTGGTTTAAAATAG